AGAGAGATTTCAAATAGTAAAAAATCGGGACCAAACTTTTAATCCGTTATAGAGAAAAATCCGTTATAGAAAGATCCATTATAGACAGTGTAGACTGTAGTGGGTTTATAAAAAATTATTTTTTTTCCAGTGTTTTGGCAATTTCGACTACTAAAAAAGATAGTTTCAACCAGAAACTTTAAATGGAGCCCATACTTTGTCTTCACTTTCTAATCGGGATACATGTCTTTAGGGGGTTTTTAGCCATAATGATAATATGTATTATGTACTTCCATTGCATTAATTAATATGAATCATCACAGTTTGATTTTGTTGAATGAACAATTTATTATTAATGTTATTTATTTATAATTAAATGTGCCTGATTACAACAAGGGCCTATTGCTTATAATAATGAAAAAATCAGGAAAGGAATTACTTGAAGCTGTTTCTAAAACGATTGAGTATGATGTTTGGGAAGAGATATCTAAATCTCCTTGTATTGGTGTAATTATTGATGAGAGTAATGATATTTCAACAACAAAAAATTTAATTGTTTATGTCAGTTATATTTATCAAGGTATTATTAAAACTAGATTTCTCAAAATATGTTCACTTTTGAATGGTGATGCAACATCAATTACAAACATTTTAATCAATTTATTCAAAAAAAAAGGTTGGAATTTCTTTAAGCCTTAAATGCTTTAATTTAAAGTGGTATAATTAACAAATATTATGTTTTATCAAATAAAAGATGTATTAGAAAAGATTACATCATTTGCATTTGATGGGACTTCTGTCATGTTGGGGGTGAGGAATGGAGTAGCTAAACAACTCACAAGTTATTGTCCTTATATGGTAGTAACACATTGTGTTGCACATTGTATAAATTTATTACTTATTATTGTTACATTTTATTATCATATGTATATTTTATTTGTTGTATTGTATGTATTATCATTTTTTTTTTCTTCAGTGAGGTCTGATTAGTTTATTTATGTTCATGATTTTCAATGTACATGATTATATATATCTATACATTTATATTAGAACAAAATAAAACTAACTTGATCTAAATTACGAACCCGTATTTTAAACCGTGACCTACCACCACACGTATAATATACATGGGGGTGGTCCAGACCTAATGTCCCAGGAAAACCCCGCAACTACCCTCCATACTCATCCCTTTTTCTATATAATTTTTTATTATACTAATACTTAATTTGTTGATATTATCTACACTTTGATTACTAGTATTATCAACATTATTTTTATTATTACTATTATTGATATTTTAATAGTAATAGGATTTTGCACCCTGATACCCTTAAAGAAAATTTTATATGTAGCAAAAATTAGTTTTGACAATAACAACTTGTGTTACTGGGGTTACTGGGGTTACTGGGGTTACTGGGGTTGGTCACAATGGTTGATCATCAAACATAGTTCAGGTCAATATAGAAAATTACTATGTGCGGATTTTTTAAAGTTACACATATATATCATCAAAACATTATAGTAAATAATCAAAGATTTATTTAAACTTTAAAACATAAAGGCTCGATAACCAAGCAAGCTGTTGGAATAATCCTTCCGTGATTGTATTTGCAGATGCTCAATTAAGAGCCTGTCAGAGAGTTTTTTTCATTTATATTAGTAAAAAATTTTTTTGTAAAGGTTCAAAGTTATCAATTTTATTGATTTTACTATAAACAATGGGAATTTATTTAAACTTTAAAACATAAAGGCTCAATAACCAAGCAAGCTGTTGGAATAATCCTCCCGCGATTGTATTCACAGATGCTCAATTAAGAGCCTGTTAGAGAGTTTTTTTCATTATATTAGTAAAAAAAATTTTTGTAAAGGTCCAAAGTTGTCATTTTACTATAAACAATGGAAATTTCAAAATCTAAAGGTTCAATAACCAAACTAGCTGTAGGAATAATCTTTCCGCGATTATATTTCCAAACACACAGTTAATAACTTATCAGAGAGATTTTTTCATTTATATTAGTAAAAAATTTTTTTGTGAAGGTTCAAAGTTATCAATTTTGTTGATTTTACTATTAATGATGGAAATTTAGATAAACTT